AACAACCACATCTAAATTCATTTATGTAAACAAAGAAATTCTGTTGTTTTAATCTAATAAGGATGAAAACAAACTATTAGAAGTCCTGAAATTGTTCTTAATTAGGGTATCTGGAGGTTGATTATGAATACAGTGGTCTTGGGTGCTGTTAGAGTTATGTGGGTGGTTATCACTTTCCGGTTGCCCACACCGTGGAAGGGTTCTTCTTGAAGCACCTGGAAAGAAAATTGGATTACAGGTGGTCTTAATGACCTGAGAGCGTGACCGCAGTGCCCAAGGGACATCTACTTGATGTCGGTCACGCACGACCATTTTGTGGGTCATTTTCGTGTTAGCTCCGTACTTGTTGAGACCTTACCGCCGAAGACGGATATCTGTGCGATAAAGCGACGTGTGCATTTTTAGGGTCGACCATTCCTAACCCCACATTTGCTTGTGGGACGGCAGGACCGCTGTTATGCTGGCTGCCTGAAGGAAACACCTTACTGCCGTCACACCTCTGTACAGTGAGCAGTACGACTTCGCTTTCGGACCTTGGGTTTGTTGCTTTTAGTCTTACCGCTCTTCAACCGACCTGTCTGACATGGTAGGACCTTGAGGAACGGTTGTTCCAGCCAGTCTAGCTCGATTGGTTCATCACGACACGCAAGACCAACCATCACGTCATGGTAGAAACAACGGTCGAGTAATTAGGGTATAGGGATTTACAGTTCAAGATCAAGATTTTTTCGAATATAATTGTTTTGTATGTTATTTATAATTGCTATTATATCCGCATCGCTTATTACTTGTACTTGAAAAATAAAACGACGAACCACTGCAATTCCCATGAAACGAAGTAAGAACTACAAGAATGGTATGATAATCCTGAATGAACATTCGTTTTTGATTATTAATAAAAACAGGATGAAATCACATAAATGAAAAATACTGAGAATTATAGCAAACCACATTGTACATGTGATGTTGAGCTTAGTTCAGTTGTCTAGAGGTTAAGTATTCGTGTGCAAGAATCTTGTGAGTTGGGATTGTGGATGCGTACTACTAAGCAGGAGTCCCGAACTAGGACGAAACTACCGCCCAGTGCTTCCAACCATTCCATGATGATCTAGCTTCAATTGACTCATGAAATGCAACTATTAAAAAGGAGAATGAAATTACATAAATAAACAATACTCAGAATTATAACAAACCACATAGTACCTATTCTATTGAGGTTAGTTCATATTAATTTAATCTAAGAATATTACATTCAAATCAATCAATGTTATACTGAATAAAATAACATAATGGAAAACAACAACAATTACTCCTTTGAATAATCATCATATTGAATTAAATAAACAAGAATCATAATGATCTAAGTAGATTAGAATATTGTGTATTGAATAACTTGAACACTTTTAATATGATTGAACTTTATATTCATAAGAATAATTAGTAGTAGTATATGATTGAGGAGATTGATTGACATCATGAATCGATTGATATTAGACTATCAATGGAAAACCTGGCAGCACTAGATGGCCATTTCTTCCTATTGTAGGACTCCTGCTGAATAGTGCGCATCCACAATCCCAACTCATAAGATTCGAAACTAGGGTTTTCGGTCTTGCACACGAATACTTAACCTCTAGACAACTGAACTAAGCTCAACATCACATGTACAATGTGGTTTGCTATAATTCTCAGTATTTTTCATTTATGTGATTTCATCCTGTTTTTATTAATAATCAAAAACGAATGTTCATTCAGGATTATCATACCATTCTTGTAGTTCTTACTTCGTTTCATGGGAATTGCAGTGGTTCGTCGTTTTATTTTTCAAGTACAAGTAATAAGCGATGCGGATATAATAGCAATTATAAATAACATACAAAACAATTATATTCGAAAAAATCTTGATCTTGAACTGTAAATCCCTATACCCTAATTACTCGACCGTTGTTTCTACCATGACGTGATGGTTGGTCTTGCGTGTCGTGATGAACCAATCGAGCTAGACTGGCTAGAAAAATCGTTCCTCAAGTCATCCAACAGTGTTAATGTCTCACTTCAACCAATTCACGAAATTGCCCAACAATGTACCATTGTACTGAGGTACATACCTCTCTCTACCCGACACGGATTAGCTCCATTAGTCACAATAGGACGAAACGGCCGTCTAATACTTCCAGGTTTTCAATGGTGAACTAACATTAGTCGGTTCATAATCTCAATAAAAAAGACTATTATCAATGATTTCAAAATTTGGCGCAAAAAATTAACGATACAATAATTTTGATAATAATCATACAACTTTCTTCTTATAATTCATTAGAAGAGAAAAAGCATACACAATAATACTGATGGCTTACAGTTAAATATTGTAAAAAAAAAGCTTTGATCAAAATAATTGATGCGCCTGGCGCGACACTGACAGGTCCTGGGTTCAAATCCCGCGGGGCGGGGTCGTGGATGCGCACTGCTGGGGAGTCCCACAACAGGATGAAACAGCCGTCCAGTGCTTCCAAGTTTTCCATGGTGGTCTAGCTTCAATTGACTGATGATCTCAACTGTTGAAATAACTTAAACTTTGATAAGCGTTGAATTAACTAGTTTTCAAGTTAATAAATCAGATATTTAATTGGTCAAAAAAAATGAAAAAACGATCTCAATCGAATTTGAACTTCTTTACGGGTCGATTTCAACTGAGGAACGATTAAAGAGCTAAGAAGTATTATACAGCTGTTTAAAAACTTTCTTTTTAATAGTTGAATTCATGAATCATTTAAAACTAGACCAACATGGAAAACGTGGAAGCACTGGACAGTTATTTCATTCTAGTATAGTACTCTTCAGCAGTGCACATTCACGATCCTATTCGTGGCATCCAAACGTAGGACCTATGGGTTTTGAGCGCGAATGCTTAAATCTCTACACTATTGAGCCAGCATCCAACGTTTTGTTTTGTAATAAGGCACTCTCACTTCTTAGATTTCATGCCATGAATGCTTTACATTTAGTTTATTGACTCAGAATCCAATCTATTTACAATTGTTGACTTCAATCCAATTTACGAAACAAACCACAATATTTGATATGCTTATATGTTACTTATTCCCCATTGGAATTAAATAATTTCCTGTTTTAAAAGAGATTTTAATTACAATCAGAAAACATAAATTATCATTTCATATATACATAAATGTATATTCCTTAGAAAACAAGTACAAATGATGCTAATCTTTTAAAGTTTCCCCTCGTGGATTCGAACCCTATCCCCGTTGCCAATTTGTTGTGTTATTTATCGCATAATGTATTCGCCAATCGAAATACCACTTATTCACTCTTGTACTGTGTTATACCAATGATATTCGACCAGTATGATCAGCCTAGCAGTCATTATTGGTCCTTTACTCACCTAACCCGTTCACTTGAGTCCAGAACATCAATAACAGCTTCCACTATGCAAATCATTTATTTCAAACATACTTGGTTTATAAACAAGCCAAACAGACCACATCGTACCATAAAATGGGAAATAACATCTACACAAGATCAAGCCGAAAAGTGGCTGTGAACGTGGGAGGCAATAGTCAATAAACTGAACATAACTTAAGAACAATAAATCGTATCATAATAGTCTATAGATCAAAACGAAGCTTATAATAAGAGGAATATCAATATACACAGATTAATTACTGAATAGTTATACCATAAGAATGTATAGCTAATATTAGTCCATTAATAGGTCTCAAAAGTTACTCATAACCTAATCTTTACTAAGATATGATAATTATCATTAAAAAGTCGAAACAACATTACAAAATAACTGTGAATAGATCAAGTAAACAAATTTATGAAAGAGAAACAATTCGACAAGAAGAAAAAAAAAAGAACCAAATTGATCTTATTGTGCTAATATGTAAACTGTAGTCATCTGAACTATTGTTTAAATGTTTCAGTTTCACTTGACTATTTAAATTATAGTTTAAATGACAAATCAAAGTTTTAATAGAATCATTAAGTTGAATATGATTGAATAGAAATTGGAAATGGGAAAAACAAACTAAACATATCCAGAAAACAATTGGATGATATTATGTAAACAGATCAGTGCAACAATGTTGTATCTCATGTGTACAATCATAATTATTGATGATGGGAAACTTCTTTAGTCATATGGTAGATATTGGAAAAAAACAAACAAAAAAGGAATTCCACTATTAATCATTAAGAACGGTCTTGTCAACAACTTGAAGTATCATCATCATCCTTGTCAATAACGTGCTGTGGGCAATTTAACCCCCGAATTCTCTGGTACGGCCGAGAGTGGGAAGAGTCATCTCTCTCTCTCTCTCTAAAAGTGCTCTCATACGGCCACGTGCATACAACCCATGTCAACGAAGTCCTACTGACTGACTTCTCGCACCATTACTGTTGTTTGTGAAAGTAAGAGGACGGAAACCGAATGTCCGGCGCTTTAATCAGGTTGGTGGACATGGAGTACACCTAGGGGAGTTGGAAAATCCTCACTCCAAACCAATCCTACACATGGGCTCCAGTAGCCTGAAGGAACAAATGGCGTATGAACCAATCGTTGATCACCGGCTGCCATGGGACTGCATCTCCTTACGATGCTCCACTGCCTTATGAATCAGACCTTTGGGTCGAAGGCTCTGGATGTGGCCCTCTAAGAAAACCACCTGCTTCGGTTTGAGCACCCGGACAGTGTCCCAGCCTTCACACAAATCGAATGACAAAGTTTGGCGCATATCTATTTGATGCCTCCTTGTACATGATTAATTGATCATTTAATTAGGTATTATAAACAATGTAGTATCTTACTTACACCTATTAGCCTTCATGGAGGAGCAGTGTAGAATTGGATTATATATAAATGAATTCGTTCACATTTATCTAATAATTGCATGAAATGTATAAACAGTTTAAAACTAAGACTGAGATACGTCTATATATATATATATATATATATATATATATATATATATATATATCAACCGATACTGAGTTATATTTATCTTTCTATTTATATAAAGGTTATCAAGACACAAATACACACAGATTCTATTGAATTAGATAGTTTAATGCATAGTAATTAAATTGATGAAAATCTACATACATACAAAGAGACAGAGACAGAGGTGCAAAGAATAATCAAATTCAATGAAACTATTCAATTGGAAATGAAATAACACAAAGACAAAGACAATAATATCACATTATAATCAAAGAAGAGTTTTTTTTTGTGTGTGTGTGTGTGGATATGATATTAATTTAATAATTGAATTCATGAGTTCATTGAAACTAGATCCCTATGGAAAACTTGAAAGTATTGGATGCGTACTACTTCTGAAGAGTCCCATACTTAGACGAAATGAATGTCCAATACTTTCAGATTTTCCATAGTGATCTAGTTTCTATTGACTTATGAATTCAATTATTAAATCTTACATGAATTGTTGTATATTTCATTGGTTTTGACTGGGAAAAAAATAAATCAGTTATTCTTCTCTATTACTCATTGAATAGAATTACATATATCCAAATCACATGAACATGTTCAAACAGAAGTTCATTGTAAAGATCAAGATTAAATACATACACATATACACATACTATTTTCAATGTTATACATTCTGTCTATACAATTAGTAACATATAAGTAGTACATAAGTAGTACATATACATACATTAGAATAGTCAAATTAATACAACATTTTATAAGGTTAAGAAAAAAAAAGTCATTGAGAATTAGAATTCAAAACGTATTGTAGGACCTTGAATACAATCATCATCATTGTTATCATGAGAATGATCATTATTAGGCTTAATATGATCAGATTCATAAGCGACCATCAAATCAGTATGACCATCCATCGGTGAATAATGCAAAAGATTGATAAAACTACAATTGATCAAAATCAATGAAAAAAAAATTATGGAAAGAGGATGAAAGATGATAAAAATAGGAAAGATAGTAAGTGTGAATATGCATGGAAATCTTGACAGCTATATAGTGTTTTTTATAGAACAGTCGTCTTTTGACTATCAATAGAATCTAGGATATGAGTTTCGTTTTGTTCAAAGGCTAATCACAGCTGGATATACATACACCTTAGGTTTGAAGTTGGGATTCAGTGTTTGTTGGGCATATGTGCTTTGAAATATATAGATCCCGAATATAGGTATCAACTCAATGATCTGTCTAAAAAGATATAACCCTCTTAATGCAAAAAAGTAGTTTCATGGAATTGTGATCCCTGAAAACGTTGTAGATGAGTGCTTGTGAGAAGTTTTACTAGAATAGGAAAAACTAGTTGTCCTGTAGGTTCTATTCATTATAGATTGATTTGAGCTGAAGTATCATTTAGAAATAGGACATGGTGGAAAGTTGTTTCGTCCTAGTTTGAAACTAGTCGCTAGTACACACCCAATAGCTTGCCAGTGATTGAACCCAGAACCTTCAGATCTCGTCATGAATCCTTGATCATTAAAACAACTGTGTCAAGTTGTTTTTCAATAATTCTCTAACCAGTATCATCAATTCATGATAAGAAATTCTTCAAATTAAAGTAATCCTCAAATAAATATTTTAATCAAAGTACAAAGGAAACTTAGGTACTCATCACAGTTATAAGTAAAAGTATATCGTGAACAAAAGTTGCTTAGTTGCATGAAACCATTACAAAGCGCCTGAACATATTTGATGTGAACGATGAGGAGTTGTCCTAGAAGTAGATATCATGTTGATCGACATTCATCAACAAGGAGGATATGTAGCCTTGAAGGAACTAAAATCACAAATGGAATTCGAATACTCATCTCTATGTACTATAGTTAGAGAGGTTGTCACTCATGTATTTGCAATGCCATTTCCATTTTATTGAACACTTGTATTCTACTGTGGTTAACGATCACTTTTACCATTGACAGGGTGGATAAATCGAGACAATTTAAGCACTTGATGATAAGTGGCTCAGTTCACCTGAAACTGAACTCACCGGTTGTAAGGATGAAATAATTTATCCTTTCAATGTATTGAATTATGTCGGTTAAATAATCAATTATTCAGTTACTTGAACGGAAGTGTTAAGTTAATATACTTAACCTTAAACAAATGAAATTGTTATCTGATGATCTGAATAATCTACATACCAATAATCAGTGCTCTTATCACTAAACCTTTACAATCATATATTACGATTAACCTGAGTGTCCTAACTTAGCATTATACACCCGAAGGATACAAATTATGGACTGATGCCACGTCGCAATCTACCCCTAATCTAGTCCCACTCAAACACATTCCTGTCTCAACTACTATTTTACACCAAGGCAGTCAGTAGTTTAATACATGTCATACACATTCTTCTCAAGATATTAGTTATATGCATATATTATGTAAACCCCAGTTGTAAGCTTACTTTCAAGTGGTTCCAAATACTGAACACGCAAGCTTCGTGTTGTAAAGAAACAATTTGAATTCAGTCACCACCAATTTTATTTTCAAAAGTCAATTATTCATTCACAACCTATGGTGATCATGTTTAATATTCAATACTTATTACGTGTGACTTATCAAGTACTCTTGTCAATTAGAAAATAATAATTTACATGAGACGTGTTACGTATGACTGAACACCGACTACCACGACGCACAATGCTCACTAGTGTTGGAGACGGCTGGAAGAAAGTTAGGGGCATCAGTGCTTGAAGTCATTAACTTCTGGTCTGGTCCATGTTGGTCGATGCAGACTACCTGGTTGGGGTCCGCATGACTGTCATAACCAATGGTTGGAGACTCTGTGTGACATGGCTCAGAATCCATCACAATGGCGTAGGTGTATACATTCTGTATCCTCCCTTAAACTATGAGATTAAAATTACTTTACATCTTTCTTTCTACGAATTAATTCTTTCTTCCTGTACTATATCCTTATATGCAGTCTTTCCTTTATATATTACCACCATTGAATTAACTACTTTTGTGAATCCGGTGTTCATCTTGTTGTGCTAATGTGGTGAGGTATGGCAACTTGTACCGATGTATATATGTGCCCGATCCTATGTTGTAGCTAACTGACTGACTGTAAATTTAAAAGTAAACAGGGCAAAAAAAAATCCAAAGAAGTACTTCATTTTTAACTTACATTTCATTTAAACGTGATTTATGCATTGGAAAATGACGCATATACACCATTCGATTGCCTTGAGTAATTAAACTCACCACAAGATTCCATTCATTCTTTCAATGATTTCCCGAATTCATAGGATTAATGAGAGAAAAATAAGTAAAAAAAAAGAGCAAAATAAATGAAAATAAAAGTACAAGAGAAGGGGAAGAGAAAAGGAAATAGAGAAAACACCATTTATAGATTTTCTCTTTAGAAAATATTGATCTCTATGTATAATAATTTAAAAAAAAACCCAACTGACATATTAATGAATTATGAAAAGAGATTAGAAATATGATGCCAATAGTAGACAAAAATTAAAGGGATGAAAACGAGTGAGTGAGTGGGTGAATGGGTGGATGAGAGCAATTGTGTGTGTGTGTGTATAAGTGTAAGTGTAAGTGTAAGTGTATGTATGTGGGTATGTATGTATGAGGTAACAAAACAATGACCAAATAAAACTTCTCAGTATTTTCATATAAGTGAACAATCATTTAACATAAACATAATACATGTTAATTAAGTGGTTAGAATTAGTTGGTAGGAAACTTCGATTAATCTACATCTTTGAATAGTTGGCGGCTTGTCAACAAGGAATACCTAACAGTCCATTAGGAAACTGATACTATTTGTGAAATTTAAACTTGTATTATCATCACAACTTCCCTAGTTTGAGACATCATCACTGAAATATTTATACCATGACTAATATCCTATAGAATTGAGATACTTACAGTTGACTGGTCAATAAGAAGTGACCAATATCATAACCATATTCACGTTTAACTGATATTGAATTCTCATAGATAATAATCATAATAATAAAATAGAAAAAAAGAGATCTAGTCTAGTTATCATCATTAATCTTTCTTTATTGATTAAAAAATCTTAAAAATTAGATGAAACAATTATCCAATACTTCATTGATTTTACTGGACGATTTATTAATGCATGCCATTTCACTTTGAACACTTACCATCAATGTTTAGTCAAATGTTAAAGCTCAATACAAGTTTACCAGTGACTAATTTCAAGGGATAATTCTTAAAAATTTCAATGAAGTTCAACAACATTGGATGATGCTCGTCCGATATTGTCAATAGGTTGGAATCAGAATTGTAAAAGATTAGATGGTGACGTGGAGAACTGAAGGTCCTAGGTTTGATCTCTGTTAGAGTTGTAAATGAGTATTATGGAGAAGTCTTGTATTATCTAGATAGAATCATTTTGTAATGTAAACTTCAAAGTGATTAGAATACAATGTCACCAATAATAACAGATAAACACAAACATACACACACATGCAGAGAATACTCAGTGGATAAAATCGATCAGAAAGAAAAAGAAGAATAAAAATATACTTCAATAGTTGAGATCATGAGTCACCATGGAAAACCTGGAAGTACTGGACAGCAGTTTCGTACTATTGTGGGACTTCTCAGAAATGCGTATTCACGATCCTGCCTCGTGAGATTCGAACTCAGGACTTATCGGTGTCGCGCGCGAACGCTTAATCTCTAGACCACTGAGCTGGCATTCAACGGTGTTAATGTCTAACTTTAACTAATCCACGAAATTGGGCAACACATCCACTATTGTCTTCAGTGAGTTTCTACCTCATAAGAGACCCGGTTGAACTCCACTGCTCACTGCTTCTCAGTAGAACTCCGGGATATACCTCATGAAGCCAGTCAATAATGAGCATATGTTGATTAATATCAGAAGGGGTTTTTGTAGACTATTATAGCACTGCTGAGTAGTGCCACAATGAAACGCAACGGCCGTTCAGTGCTTCCAGGTTTTCTATGGTGATCTAACATCAACTGACTCATGATCTCAACTACTGAAATAACTATAATATCCACAAAAACCCCTTCTGATACAAACATATATTGGCTGAAAAACTGTAAAAAAAAAAGAACACAAATATATATGTTATGTAATAAGGATTGAATGTAAAAGGGAAAAAACAAGACAGACCATATTATCTTCATAAATCTTTTCTATTGAACAGTAATCACATTGGTTACAGACAATCATATAACCATGTATATATCGATTTTTCCCCATTTAAAAGATCACATTCAAACAAACAAACAACAACAACAACAATACAAAAACAGATTACAACATATAGGTCATTTCAGGAAACAAACTACCATATATATACATTGAACAATTGATAGATCTATTGTTGCCAATTTTAAAAGAGGTTACATTTTAAACTTTCTCCCCCCCTCCCCCTTTCTCTCTCTCTCTCGCTCTTCTATTGTCCCTCTTTAAAGTAAATATTTCTCCCTTTATTTTAGATACCGAATTTTATGAGTTATAATAGAATTGAGAGTTCTTCAATGATATGTTTGTATTAGAAAGCCAAATAATATAGTGTTCAATAGTTGTCAATGGTAACAATGACTAAACACTAATGTCGACAACTACAAAAACAACAAAAGTGATATCACATGTATTAAGGGTTATTTGTTTTAAATTTCAATTGTGTATGTATCTACATATCTATGTAAGAATTCAGATAAATCTTTAATTGAATAATACCAATATCAATACAGTAATATAGATAAGTTAACAATAATGTAAATGAATTATGAAAGGATAACACAAAAGCAGGTGGCTATCAGGACTCAGTAGCTAAGTGGATAATGTGATGGCATTTGGAGCGAACGGTACTGGGTTTGAGTCCCGGAGTGGACATCAACTATGCGATGCGGGTACATCCAGCTGAAGAGTACTAAATAAGACGAAATGCGCGTCCTAGATTCTTTTGCTAGCCACTATCCACCTTTGCTTACAAAAGTATTTGTTGTAAATACTAAGTGTTAATTTTTGTTGTTGTTGGATGGAATCATAATTAGCAATGATGATCTTTACTAAAAACAAGATTGTTTAATTCAATCACTTAGTTATATACAACATAGAGTCTCAAATATATATGTATTTCAGATCAGATTACGACAATTCATACATCAATTATATGATTTAGGACGCCAGTCGATATGATGTGCTAAATTTACCAAATAGAATTTCGTATATTATTCAGTCTACAAACTAGACTTGAACAATTATACACTCTAACCGGCATGGTTAACTTTGAGCCAACGCAAGCTATATTTCTATGGGCCTATTATTTGTAAACTTTGTCTCAATTTTCTGCCTTGAATCTAAAGACAAGTCACAAGTCAGGTTCTACTATATTGATTCAAAAAACAAATGGGTCTGTATGCCTCCAAATGCTCTGGTATGGCCGAGGATTGGGAGAGTCAGATCTCCCTCTCGAAATACTCTCATATAGCCACGCGTATACAGCCAATGTCAGGGAAGTCCTACCCACTGCCTTCTGACGGCAAGGTGAATATCCGGCGCTTTAACCGGGTTTGTGGATATAGAAGATATGAGTTGGAAAACCCTGATTCCAAACCAATGGTGCACATACGCTCCAGTATCCTGAGGGAAAAAATCGCGTAAGAACCAATTATTGGTCACCGACTACCATGAAACTGCATCTCCTGACGTTGCTCCACTGTCTTGTGGATCAAATCTTTAGGTCAAAGGCTTCGAGTGTGGCTCCCTAAGAAAACCAACTGCTTCAGTCTGGGCACCCGGGTAGTATCACAGCTCACATACAAATCAAGTGACTTGTATGGCACATGTGTATTCGGTGCCTCTTTGTACCAATATTTGTGTTCAAATGAATAAATGATTATAAATGGATATATGTATGCAAACATACTGAACTATAACACTCCATAAAATAAAAATTCACAATTATAAACAAATAAGCCAAAAGTGGCTATGAATAGAGCAAACTGTAAATAATTGATTGGCAGTATAATAGTAGTTGATCATTTGAAATAAAGCTTATGATAAACGGAGTACATGTACATGATAATCCAGTAACTTATCAATTCTATGAATAAGAATATATGTATTCTATAAAGTGATTTCGGAAGCGACCAATTCTTCAGTCATCATTGTGATACATCAGTCAACATAAGGACATTAAATTATTAAGATGAATATCAAAGTAAACGGAATAACACAGAAACCCATTAAGTTCCTTTATTGTCGAAGGGTATAGAAAATTTGATTCAAGAACAATCAATAAATCAGTAGAATCAAAGACAGAAAAAAAATCAGAAATTCAAGATTTAACGGAAGACAAAAAGTGAATGAATCACCACTACTATAACTAACTTTGATCCATATCATCAAACGTCACCAACCACTAATTGCGTTTATTGAACGGACTTCTCTCAAGTAGTCTTCATCTACCATCGTAATTTAGAACAACAGTCAATGATTCCATGGACTGATGATATGTCTTCGTTCTGTAGCACATAGATTTCTTCTAATTTATACTACTTCAGGGAATATGGTATGTTGCGGAAAGTGAGCAGTTGAGCATAAGTAATACATGTCTCAACCACTTTAGTCGATGAAGTTTCATTATTTAGCCATCCAATTTCCTTAATTCGCCTAATACCATTTATCTAACCTCAATATTATTCCCTTGATGATTCCAACATACGTGATTGATATTTGGAAGATATCTAATATTAAATACTAGTAACCTACAAATATCCATTATTCTTAAAGGTCACATTTTACAGTTGTACTGTAAGACAACTGCCCAGCTTCTTGCTTTTTGTTGTTGAAAACAATATATGCATGAGGTCTCCTATGTCATCTTTGATCACCGATTCACTGCTCAAATGATTACTAATGAGGTAAATTCGATAAAAATCATCAGTGCGCATAGTTCCAGCAAAACGTTTATGGACCCTATAAAGCTTGAAATCACAGGGTATAACACTAAAGAAAGTTGACTTTTGGAGATTTACGGGAATGTTTTGAACAGTAAAAACGGAATATTTTAGGAGATAAGATGAATGTACCTCGAAATTTTGTAAAACAAAATCTATATGACCACAGTTCGTGTAGTTACCGGAAATTCTACGTACTGGTCACATGTTTTGAATTATTAACAAAATAGAATAGAACATATTGATGAGAAGTATACTTTTCCTTAGATTGGTATATAAAAATTCTGATCAATGTAGTAATCTTTGATCACACACATACACACACAATAAACTGCAACAAACAAGCCCCCGAATGCCTTGGTACGGCCGAGAGTGGGGAGAGTTCACTCTCCCTCTCCAAATGCTCTCACACGGTCACGCGTATATAGCCTCTGCCAGGGAAGTCCTACTCATTGCCTTCTCGTGGCAGCGGTATTGTTTACGAAATTGAGAGAACGAAAAGCGAATGTCCGATGCTTTAACCGGGTTAGTGGATATGGAGAGTCCACCTAGGGGAGTTGGAAAACCCTCATTCCAAACCAATGCTCCACATGGGCTCCAGTAGCCTGAAGGAACAAATGGCGTATGAACCAATCGTTGGTCACCGGCTACCATGGGACTGCGCCTCCTGACTTGCTCCACTGCCTTATGAATCAGACCTTTAGGTCGAAGGCTCTGGGTGTGACCCCTAAAGAAACCACCTGGTTCAGTCTGGGCACCCGGGCAGTATCACAGCCCTCACACATATCAAATGAGATTTGTGTGGCGCATATGTATTTGGTGCCTCCTTGTACCAATATCTATGTGTTAAAATAAAATAAAATAATAACAAACAAACTCTAGATCTTGGTATTAAACGTGATTAACTTGCCTGATTGAAAAGATGAGTTTGTCGGAAGGCCCGACCGTAGCTGCTACTTTTACGTGATCGTCGGGTTTACCTATAATGGTAACTCAACCGGGTTATATTGGTCGGAACACATGTTCTTTTAAGTCCTACTACACCAGGCAGGTCGGTTGGAGAACGGTACGTCTAAAAGCAACAACTTAAGGCCCGAGGGCGAAGTTATACTACTGACTGTAGAGAAGTATGTTTCTGATGTGATGACCTCCATAATCGACTAACCAAGACTCAAATGGATCACATTGCCATTAGCCATTGTTGGAAGGGCTCAATAGAACACTATCGCTCATTCTGGAGCACATATTTAGACTCGGATCATTTTCCAGTTCGAGCACAAATTTGTCGGCATGTTAAAGAGCGCAAAAAAGCCACAGCAAGGAAACCCTTTAGAATCCAATTGAATGATGAAAAAATTTGTGGTATATATTTCGGGAACGACTAGAGGAGCTAATCAACCGTGAAAATGATACCCACTCCGAGGTAGGTTGGTATTGATATCCAAAATCTGTGGAAATAGCAGTGATATCTACTAATAACTTATCGATAGCGTATTTGGGGACTACAGAGTAAGCAATACCTGAGTCACTGACAATTAGATTTAGTCATCTTAATAGGTATAGACCATCTGGTTGAGATCCACGTCATTGTCGTAACCAATGGCTAGAAATTTTGAATGATTTAGTTTTAAATTGTTTGAAATAGCATATATGTATCCATTCTTTGTCGTCCCCCGAATCCTGATATTCAAAATTCCTCATAGCTTTCTTGTTTTTATTTCGCTAATTTATACTTTCTTTTCGAGCCGTATGTTCGATACCTAATCTTTCCTGTTACCACTGATGTTGTTACTATCACAACTATTCCGGGATTTGGTTTGACAACTTCACCTCGGTGTGCTAATGGGACATGGAAAATTGAACCAATATACATACGTAGAGGTTCCACATCGTAACTAACCGATTTGTCAGAAGGATTCATGGAGAGTACATAAACAGCTTTTGTCTATAAAACGGCTATGGTCAGGACGACTTGCAACCTTATAAGAAGATTATGTTCAGAAGATAAAATGGGTAAGGAGTGAACGCCATTTGAATGATAATAGTTACCAGCAAAAATTTATAACTAAGTATAGGAAGATTAAAGCGAATGAAATGGAGCAGCCCATGATTGAAAAAAAACCATGTCATCCTAAGATTTGTCTTTGGGTGTGATGAATTAACTGGAAAGAATGATTTAAAATCATATTGCCTATGTGTCACTACTACTGCTGCTTCTACTTTTCTGGGATCTATCTTCTTGATTTTATCTGTTGGTACTGATTTATGAAATGTGGCAACTTGAACCGATGCACGTATGTGCCACGTTCTACTTTGTTTATAACTGACTAACTGATTGACAAAATTATCTACTTTAAAACGATAGATAAGTTTAAGCAACTTGTATGGCATATGGAGTATGACAATTCAGTGGTTAAGAACATCACATTAGTTTATGAAATCACTAATCTTGGATCAAAGACTTGAAAGAGACCGTAAGCGTTAATGATGTTTTCTTTAGGATAAGAGGGAGTATTCATTTTGCAATGTGGTAACTTTAACCAATGTATATATGTACCAAGGGGTTCTATGTTATATAAATACATATATAATGACAAAATAAGAATAAAACCTTAGGTCGTACACATCTTCTAACTAGTTGCCTTCCATCATCACAAAGTTGAAAAATAAAAAAATAACACAACGGATATTGACAAAAAAGAGAAGCTATCCATTTTATTTTATACATACAAAGGACTGTTGCCATGTCTCCTTCTCTCTCTGGATCGTTATCTTTCACCTTTATGTCTTATAATATCAAGGCACACCTTAGTAACAGTTAGATAAACAAATTATTTATATTGATGCCTTCTATCCTGCTATCACTCACAATGATATATGTATATACTTTCATTAATACTCACTTTAAATATGATATCAAGAAGAAATGGATGTTAGGTTTACCTACTACTACTACTACTACTACACTGAGAACATCTGTTTCAATGTTAGCGCACATTCATAGCCGCTATTCATTTATTACGATGAGGAGTGTTTTGCATAGATGCAGAAAGACAGCAGAAGCTTTACACCTAAATTATCAAGTTCAATATTCAACATAATTTAAACAAACAACCAACTATCAAAGCTCAGTCAGTCAGCTACAACATGGGATCGGGCACATATATACATCGGTACAAGTTGCCATACCTCACCACATCAGCACAACAAGATGAACACCGAATTCATAAAAGTAGTTAATTCAATGGTGGTAATATATAAAAGAAAGACTGCATATAAGGATATGGTACAGGAAGAAAGAATTAGTTCGTAGAAAGAAAGATGTAAAGCAATTTTAATCTCATAGCTTGAGGGAGGACGGAGAGTGTATACACTGACGCCATTGTGATGGATTCTGAGCCATGTCAAACAGAGTCTCCAACCATTGGTTACGAGAGTCACGCGGACTCCAACCAAGTAGTCTATATCTACCAACATGACTAAGACAAGAAATCATTTTTTTATTCCAAGAATTGAATATTTTGGATTTGATCTCTTGTGTGCACTGCTGAGGAATTCCAAACTAAGACGAATGAACCTTCCAGTGCTCCATTTGAGTTTGCAGCCAATTTTTACATGATAGTTTTGTTGGGGTGATCCGGCAAATCTTTCGCAAAAGACAAGCAAGGATCAGGAAACACTAAGAAGCGTTTCCTCCAATCAGCGTTCACTTGAAGTTCTATCCAAAAATATCAGGGAATTGAAACATCACGTGCAGAGGTTCTGATTGGTTGATTGCTACACTGCTATTATGTTTAGTAGCATTCCAGAATCTTCTAGCAACCCAAGGATATTTAAAATATTATAAAAACCTGTATTTTCTGTATTGAAATGAACCTTGGAGTAAAGTACTTCTCGCATACTTTGCGTCTTCTCTCTCGTTGTTCAGGTCGCTGTATAGTTGTAGCTTGGGGGTTACAGAATAGCTTAGGAAACGAATATAGCGTTCAATCAGTGATCAATCAGTTGTAAATGTCTTATTCCTACAGAATGTCAGTTGTCAGTTGAATAGCGTTTAAGACTGTAAAGCTGAGTTACGCGGTTAGTGAAAATTATAAAAAATATCAGTTGTCTCAAGATTGCAGATACTCCTTGCTGAAGAGTATCAACTAGCACGAAATTTAGGTTCATACTTTCCTGTAGACTGACTTTAACCAAAGAGTGATACAAAAGTTCTGTTGAACTATTCGTGCATAAAATTAAAACTATAATAATAGATAACTTTCAGTGATACATTGATTACAAACGAGATGTTTATAATAGATGTGATCATCTTCTACAGTTGTATTGAGTATGTGTATGCGTCACGATCAGTATCATTCATTATCATTGCCAACCTCAAGTTGTCATCTAGCAACAGCAACAACAACAGCAACAACATCATCATCATAGTCACGGGAAGAATGCTTTCATCACAAGAGAATAAGGAAGTGAAGTGCCCACCAACATTCAAAATCAAATCATAAGGATACATTTAAATGAGAATAAGCAGTAATAACTTATAAAAGAAGATTGATGGCAAACAGGACTACTTTCTATGAAATTAATTTATGAATGGAAGAAGAAGATATGAGAACCAAAAAAAGCTTTTTTTTCAAATTGTATCATCATTATTATTGCCAGTTGTTACCAGGACGACAAATTACGCATATGTATATATATAATACGTAAAAAATAGCTTATTAGATATGAAAACAAAACACAATTAGCGTATATATATATATACACACACACACACACCATTCATCTGTAACCACAACAACTAAAAAAATAGTCTAGAATTCAATAAACAAATGAGTAAATAAATAACTAAACATTATTTGACCTTAATCCACATATAATTTTCTTTGTTTTGTTTATGGTATAATTGGATTATGGTTAACAGTGGAATAAAAGATGTTTCGTCCAATCTGAGACTCATCAACTGCATGTATCTGCATCTCGGTTTTTATATAAAATACTGAAATAATGAAGTGATATTGGAAGCAACAGGTATTGGGTGTATATAAAATATCAACATAATGAGACGTTAGTACATTCAACTGATGAGTCCCATTGAAATATAAGAATTAAACTTGAATAACTAGACAATAAATGAACAGAGAATACAACTCATTGGCAAGAATAATCATTCTTGGCAGTATGTTTTATATTCCTTTTCTGCTACTAGATGAGGACACATTCGTTCTTAGGAGAGATAAGCTTGAAATAGGATTAGTATTGATAATATTATTGATCGAAGAGTGTAACCAAGTCCAACGGACGACTGGTTGAAACCGATCACTAAAGTTATTTTCTAAAAAGGTTACATTTGTATTTCTAGCTTGCATTCTTTTTCCAAACTCATAATGAAAAGTAGGTTTCTATATATATTGGGAAGAAAATTTTTTAATCCCACCTCATTCTATAAGCGGGCAAAGTTACTGGAAATGTTAGTTATTAATTGGAAGTGTCTTATCCATGGCTCAAAATCGTTTTCAATGGCGCAGGTGCATCCATTCTTTGTGTTTCCTCAAATTATGATCTCCCAAGTTCTTCATAACTTTTTTTAAAATTTCACTGGTTTATATTTTTCTCTTGAATCGTATCTTTGACGCCTAATCTTTTCAATCACCACTCATACTATTACTACCTTTACAACTCTGAGACTTGCCTTAACAATTTCATATGTCCGTGCTAATCGGGTATGACAACATAAACCGATATACACATGTGCCAGGTTTTAGGTTTTGTTTGACTGACTGACTATATCCGGCAGATGAGTCTCAAGTAGGCGCGTGTCCTGGGTTATATTGCTAGCCACCATCCATCTCTGCTTATAATGACTAGCTGACTATTCCGCCCAATTTAATTCGGTTAGATAATTACGATAAGAAAATCTAAATATCACATCGGGGTTCAACACTATATCTAGAACAATATAACTATGGACCATCTAAAGTATAAGCACTCACCTTGATCTGATCAATAAAATCGGTTAATCGATATTTATCAACTTGTTTACATGGTCGAATAGTCCAACGATCCCATAGACTGAAATATTTTCCATTTGGTAAACGTGTTTGTCGACACAGTCCTGGTTCACTGAACAAAATAACCGGTAATGCTAAGTTAAGAAAACTATTTCTAGATTTTAATTGAACTAAACGTTGTTCACAATTATTTATTGGTGTCGTAGTCGCCGCCAATGTATTTATTTCCTTTTCAGATGTAAACGAACCAACATGATCATCATCATCATATTGATTATTGTTAATTACATATTTAAGTAATTCTAAGCAGACTAAACCTGCAACAGTTGCAGTTGTTGTCGCTATAGCTGGTACTATTCGTCCAGCGATACGTTTAACAACATGGCGAGCTGTAATCGGTAGACTGTACATTGTAGCACGTAAATTCTATAACAAATATATACAAAAAAAGAAATGAAAGATTACTGAAACATTTGACCGGGAAAAGGGGAGCGCAAAAGTTTATGTGACGAAGAAACTAGTAGTAAGCAACTGAAGTAAATTTCTAATTGAATGAATGCTTCAACACTTTCAAAGCGTTCATCCATAGACTAATAACATCTATAACTTATTACTACTATTGTGTATATGGAGGAATAAATGAAAATGGAAGTGTTTTGAAAGAAAACATTGTTGCTTAGAGATATTTGAAGGAAAACTCGGGTTTCGTATTATTTAGCACTCGTCAACAAGGTGTACTTGTAATCTTCAGGGGACTGATACTTCTCGGCAGATTTGGTCAGAAATGTTACCACTGAGCTATTGGTACAAAGGAGCACCAAAAAATATATACGCCGCACAAATCATTGGATGTGTATGCGTTGAGATACCATTCGGGTGACAAATCAGAACACGTGGTTTCATTAGGGGTTCACATTCTGAGCCCTTGACTTACAGGTCTAATCCACGAGACAGTGCAGCAAAGTTAGGAGATGCAGTCCTATGGTAGCCAGTGACCAACACTAGGTCCATACTCCAGTTTTCTCCCAGGATCCTGGAGCACAAATACACCATTGGTTTGGAATAAACGTTTCCCAACTCCTCTACATGGATCCGCCATACTCACTTACCCGGTTTAAGCGCTGAACATTCGCTTCTCTTCCTCTCTATTTCGTAAACAATACCCCCACCACGAGAAAGCAATAAGTAAAACTTTTCGCTTCAAATTATTTCAGATATACACAAACACTGGAACAGTATTTTCTTATCTAAAGTACCTATGAAAGGCACTTAAACACGTACTGTCACCAATTTCTAGTTTCTATTGCCATATTGTCTTAGAGTTTAAGCTTGTTTAGTGTTAAGTCATATCGACTATGATGGGTAAGTGATGCATTCCAGACCTTAATATTTACATACACCTCTCACCTTGCATACAACAGCTACTACAAACTGAATGTTATGATCGAATTAACAATACTTTAATATTATCAGAATGGGTTTTGTGGAGATTTTTAGAAATTTCACAAGTTGAAATCATGAGCCAATTAAAGCTAGACCATCATGGAAAACCTGGAAGCACTGGACGACCGTTTCGTCCTAGTACGGGACTCCTCAGCAGTGTTTACCAATAGAATAGACTATGTAAAATTTATTTTAAGTGTTATTTTCGTCATAGGTATGCATATTTTATACATGTATGTATACGAACATCTTCATTTAATCATTCTATTACATTGAGATGACTCACTTTGTCATTTTCATCACATGGACATGTATCGGTCATGTGAAAAATCATTTTCTGCTTTCTAAGTGTTTTCATTCACTCGTTTCTATACCGGTCATACATGTTTGTCAAATGACTGCGTGAATTAAAATATACACCTTTTGTTGTCTGTCAACGCTTGTATAACAAGATTTAGAGAAATAGTTAAAGTAGATGACAGCGTGTACAAACTTATTTCTTTGTTTAAAAGAGTTAATCACATGGTGATTTGTGTATTACGTATAATGATAATAAATGGATGATTCAACATACGACAATTTAGTGGATTGGTTGAAGTTAGACATTAATATCGTTAGATGCCAACCGGCTCAGTGGTCTAGCGGTTAAGCGCTCCCGCGTGAGAGTGATAGGTTTTGGGTTGGAATCTTGCGGTGCGGGATCGTGGGTGTGTACTGCTGAGGAATCCCATACTAGGGTGGGACAGGCCGTCCAGTGCTTCCAGGTTTTCAATGGTGGTCTAGCTTCAATTGACTCATCAGTTCAATTATTAACATGCATCAATTAATTAACTTCAGTTTGGACATCTGTTACGTTCTAGTTTGAGATTTCTTCAGCAATACAATCGATCCCATCACATTCAGGCATCGTGACGATTGAATTGCACATTTAGACTATTCAAGTCATTATTCTCAAATGGTCAAAAGATTTCCAACTTCAGTAAATTTGTAATATCATTATTCATTGTAATAGGTCCATCTTAACTATTCTATCATACTTGTGTCAATGAATGAAAAGTGATACAAAATAGAGGAGATAAGTACAGAGATTCAACAACATATGTAGAAATTAGTAGAATAGTTTAGAATTTGGAAATTGTCAACATATACCTCCAAGGGATTATGATATTTCACACTAGCTAATAAAGCATAATTAAGTAAAAAGTGAATAATGTTGAGTTATCCATTGTCCAGTATAAATCAAGACATAAAAAAACACTACACATTGCTGTGCAATAACTGCTAAAGGCTTTAAAATTGTTTTGTCACTATATAGAGCATTTAGAAACCTAAGTGTTGACACATAACGATGTATATAGTAGTATGTGTTCACGTAAAACTCGGGTACTGAATATAATCAGCTAATTACTGTTTAAAAATAACAGTATAGTGTTAAAAAGGGTTCAAAGAACAACAACTAAGTTAGGTATTCGAATCATATGACGAAAGAATGACTAAATGGAACCTACTCTCTTTATCACACAAAACTAGAAGGGACTTGATCGCATACTTCGAGTTACTGAATTATTAGGTTTACATGACATCTTTTCAATTGTCCTTCAGAATAGATAATATAAAAAATGTTCACAAGTCTAGGACTAATTACTTATCAGCCGGATACCGATTTTCTTATTGAATTTCCAATAAATGGAACTTTTTATTTAAGTAAGTGTTTACAACTTCTTTTGTATAGACATTCAAAAGGAGGTTGGATTAATTGAGCGATATCCATAGCTATAACTAACAAAGGTCATCCAGACTTATGTCCTTAAAATAAAACTGAATGTTTTAGTTAGATCTTCTATAGAATATAAGGCACAATGCCTAATTCAATGTCATCACTATCTGAATTAAATCTTTATGATTGAACTTCTGTAATTCTTTCTCTTCTTTCTTCATCATCATCATCATCATCATCATCATCATCATCATCATCATCATCATCATCATCATCATCATCATTACCATCAGTATACCTTCATGATTTCAACTGTTAAAATAAACGAAACTCAAGCGTGAATGAATGAAAGAACAAATGAATATAAAAACAAAATATGGACGGAATAGTTGACAACACCAAAAAAAAAAAGAAGAAAGAAGTATAATCAATAATGCTTATAACGAATAGCATTCACTTATTTTCTATCCATGTAGCAGAAGAAAAAAAACGATAACTAAACAACAACAATAACAGAAATAACAATGCTAATAGTTTGTCTACTCGTCACTACGACTACCACTAATACTACTACTGATACTACCACTACTACTACTCTCCTAAGTAAGTTTATCACTATAGGCCTGGTAATTTCGGTTAGGTCATAATTTGATTGATGAAATTAACTAATGCATATGTAGATATATATACATAGATAAACACTGAGTTGCTAGCTGTGTTCAATTGTGTGTGTGTGTGTGTATCTATATATGTTTATCTGCACACACACACACATTAATAAATAAATAAACATATGAATACAAAACATTTCTATGTGTATAGAGGCGCGCAAGTGCGTCATTCTATTATGTACGACAGGCATATCTGTCTGTCTATCTATCATATATTGAATATGTCTATCTATCTATCTATATTACTATGGAGAGTTGATTTGATAAAAAGGAAAGTTAACATTTACTTTATTCTTTTTTTCTTTCTCTCTCTCTAAAATTATAATTTGTGTAAAATTTATTCCCATCAGTTTCATGAGTGACTTTTTTTCCTCTCTCTCTCCCTCTCTCTCAATATTACCAAGATAATAACAATAATAATAAAAAATGACAATTCACAATGTTATATACTAATTTTCAGTATAGGGTTGTAAAGATTATTGAATTCTAGTGAGAAATCATGATCAGTGAAGTTTCAACAGTGTTTGTTGTGAGATAGTAGCTCACTGATGATAATGGTGAACGATCACGTAATATTGTAGATTAACGGAAATTAGACATTAACATTCAGTCAGTCAGTCAGCTACAACGTAAGACCAGGCACATATATGTATTGGTACAAGTTGCCATACCTCACCACATCAGCACAACAAGATGAACACGAAATTCATAGAAATAGTTAATTCAATAGTAGTAATATATAAAAGAAAGATTGCAATAAGGATGTAGTACAGGAAGAAAGAATTAGTTCATAGAAAGATGTAAAGCAATTTTAATCTCTTAGTTTAAGGGAAGACAGACAGTGTATACACCGACGCCATTGTGGTCGATTCTGAGCCATGTCACACAGAGTCTCCAACCATTGGTTACGATAGTCACGCGGACCCCAACTAAGTAGTCTGCATCTACCAACATGGCTCAGACTAGAAGTTAGTGACTTTATGGACTGATGCCACGTTTTAATTCGGCATCACCTAACTTTCTTCCAACCATCCCGAACGCCGGTTAGCATTGCACGTCGTGGTAATCGGTGTTCGGGCATACGTAACACGTGGCCCAACCATCTCAGTCGACGAAGATTCACAACCTCATCGACTGATTTACCATCATTCCCTAATACCCTGCGTCTAACTTCACTATTACTTACCCGGTGATCCCAGCAGATGCCAGCAATATTTCTAAGGCATCTGTGGTTAAATACTAGTAGCTTAAGAGTGTCTTCTATTCTTAATGGCAATGTTTCGCTGTCGTAAATTAGAACAGAACGGACTGTCGCGCAGTATACTCGTCCTTTTATTAATAGGCATTAACATTGTTGGATGCCAATTCAGTGTGCAAGACCGAAGAACCCAGGTTTGAATCTCGTGAGACGGGATCGTGGATGCGCACTGCTAAAGAGTCCCATACTCGAACGAAATAACAGTTCAATGCTTCTAGGTTTACAATGGTGGTGGTGATCCGTTTATGATATCAATCTAAATACTAATTTAATATGATAATAGAGGATAAATGAAAACACTTTTTTTTATAGATTAAGAAGTTTTAGTGAAAATAATGACTAGTGGTATTTGAACCATGTTGAGTGTAAGGCGATTAGCGTGCAATGGATGGTAATTGAACTATTAAATACAAAACTCAATGATCTAAATGTAGCGTGCTTGCCACCAAACCTGTAGGTCCTATATTTGACCTATAATGAAGTGGGTATTCACTGATGAAGGGTTCCATACTGACGATGATAAATTAATTTATCAAACACAGGTTTTCTGTACTCAGTTTAGATCTATACTGTTTATGTAAGGGTTGATTATAATTCAAGATTACTTAAGAACAAGAAAAATCATCGTAATTTAAAAGTCCTTATAAGTGAAGACACACAGTTACCGATAAAATTCCAATAGTTAGAGTAACATGGAAGGTTGTGAAAATTACTGAACTTTTCAATTTTCCATAATCGGTTAGACATTAGTTCAATAATCGTTAAAAAGCCAATTCTCACTCAACAATGGGAATCCATAACCCCAACCCACGAATCAAACCCATAACCTTTAGAAATCTCAGCGACTGCTTATAATTTAGGTCAGTAGATTATCAATAATGGTTTGAAGTTGTTAACTTCAGTCGATTCGTAATATTGAGAGTATGGTTAGTGAGACTTATTTTTTCATTGCCAGTAAAGTTGAACTGCTAGCTAAGGAGTTCTGTAGTATGAAAGAAAGAATCCTTCCAAGTTTTTCGCTAATTGTCCAATCAGACTTAGTGGGTGATATAAAATGATGAAGGGAAGCGTAAAAGAGGAAGGCCAAAGAACACATTACGTCGGGAAATAGAAGCAGATATGAAAAGGATAAATAACAACTGGAAGGAGCTGGAAATGATTGCCCAGGACAGGGTTGGATGGAGAATGCTGGTGAGCGGCTTATGCTCCTTCACGAGGAGTAACAGGCGTAAGTAAGTAAGTAAGTAAGTAAGTAAGTAAGTAAGTAAGTAAGTAAGTAAGTAAGTAAGTAAGTAAGTAAGTAAGTAAGTAAGTAAGTAAGTAAGTAAGTAAGTAAGTAAGTAAGTAAGTAAGTAAGTAAGTAAGTAAGTAAGTAAGTAAGTAAGTAAGTAAGTAAGTAAGTAAGTAAGTAAGTAAGTAAGTAAGTAAGTAAGTAAGTAAGTAAGTAAGTAAGTAAGTAAGTAAGTAAGTAAGTAAGTAAGTAAGTAAGTAAGTAAGTAAGTAAGTAAGTAAGTAAGTAAGTAAGTAAGTAAGTAAGTAAGTAAGTAAGTAAGTAAGTAAGTAAGTAAGTAAGTAAGTAAGTAAGTAAGTAAGTAAGTAAGTAAGTAAGTAAGTAAGTAAGTAAGTAAGTAAGTAAGTAAGTAAGTAAGTAAGTAAGTAAGTAAGTAAGTAAGTAAGTAAGTAAGTAAGTAAGTAAGTAAGTAAGTAAGTAAGTAAGTAAGTAAGTAAGTAAGTAAGTAAGTAAGTAAGTAAGTAAGTAAGTAAGTAAGTAAGTAAGTAAGTAAGTAAGTAAGTAAGTAAGTAAGTAAGTAAGTAAGTAAGTAAGTAAGTAAGTAAGTAAGTAAGTAAGTAAGTAAGTAAGTAAGTAAGTAAGTAAGTAAGTAAGTAAGTAAGTAAGTAAGTAAGTAAGTAAGTAAGTAAGTAAGTAAGTAAGTAAGTAAGTAAGTAAGTAAGTAAGTAAGTAAGTAGTAAGTAAGTAAGTAAGTAAGTAAGTAAGTAAGTAAGTAAGTAAGTAAGTAAGTAAGTAAGTAAGTAAGTAAGTAAGTAAGTAAGTAAGTAAGTAAGTAAGTAAGTAAGTAAGTAAGTAAGTAAGTAAGTAAGTAAGTAAGTAAGTAAGTAAGTAAGTAAGTAAGTAAGTAAGTAAGTAAGTAAGTAAGTAAGTAAGTAAGTAAGTAAGTAAGTAAGTAAGTAAGTAAGTAAGTAAGTAAGTAAGTAAGTAAGTAAGTAAGTAAGTAAGTAAGTAAGTAAGTAAGTAAGTAAGTAAGTAAGTAAGTAAGTAAGTAAGTAAGTAAGTAAGTAAGTAAGTAAGTAAGTAAGTAAGTAAGTAAGTAAGTAAGTAAGTAAGTAAGTAAGTAAAGTAAGTAAGTATAAAATGATGATAAGACTATTTAGTGAATTGGTTAGTAATATTAAGTTTTTATATTGAAGTAATCAATGATACATAAATATACATAGTTGCAATTGTATCAGTTGTATTGTATAGTAATATTCACCATCTGTCTAGTTTCTGGTTATTTGTAACTATACAATTGAATTATATACTGTGTAAACAATTCAGTTTGTTAATATGATTATACTACACAACATACTATGACATAAAAAAACGAAGTCGGAATTATTTCAAATCAAAATGATTATACAGATAGTGTGTGTGTGTGTGTTATAAAGAAATTAGTTAGTACAGGTGATTAGTAGAGATTGTAGAATTTTTTTGCAATATAAATCATGAACTGATCTTAGCTAGATTATGATTGAAAACCCGAAAGCACTAGATGACTATTTCATCCTAGTATGAAACTCCTCAGTAATGCGCATCCATAACACCTAAGACCTACGGTATCAAACGCGAACGATTAACCTATAGATGAGGGTTACGCAAGATCTTTTATTGATTGAAGTTAGATATTAGGATTATTGGATTTCGGCTTAGTGATCTACAGGTTAGGCGTTCATACATGGAGGTCAGGTCGTTGATGTGCATCTACTAACGAGTCTCATACTGAGATGAAAAAGGAGTCTAAGGTTAGTTTGTGATTTAAACTGTAAAAATTATAGAGATATGTCAAATTATTGTATTTATGTAAATATAAGCTTTAAGAGTAACATAGATAAAAGGAAACGAAAATCAATTCATACAAATCATTAATTGTTGTTTTAAGCTATTCATAAAAAGTCTAACTCTCCTACTGGATGTCTTTCATATGTCTACAATTAACAACTAGATAATGATAAGTGTGATAGAACATGAATGTGCATTTCAATTCATTTTACATCATTCTACAATATCATATCAAATTAATATTAATGATTCAGATGAAAGATAACAATAGCGTCTGAAATGAACATTTCAATCTATTTGACAATAGTCATCTAGATGATGAATCTATATCTCAGAATTGATAGCCACGTTCTAACTTGAAACTGAAATGAGTCGCTTCACACGATAGAGAACTATACATTACACCATTTGGTTACAATAACCAATACCGAATTTCCAAAACTTGTTTAAAATACTGAGTTCTTGGTTAAAGTAACATGAATATTAAGAAAGTAAGAGGAGAAAAAGTGAACAACTGGCACCTAAACTAAATTGGAGGATACAGAGAGTCCACTTAAGGGAGTTAAAAAAATTATAATTTCAGACAATTGGCGTAGATGTACTCCAGGATCCTGAGGGAACGAATGATGAATGAACCTATTTTAGTCGCTGGCTATCATAGGAACAGATTTCCTGATGTTGCTTCACTGTCTTATGGATTAGACCTCTAGGTTAAACGATCGAGGAATGGCTCTGTTGTAACGTGTGACTTGCAGGTTTTGATAAGCAGCGTTTATATCGATCGATCACAGTAACACGGAAAACACGTATGGACGACCTAGTGCCCTGACTGGTCGTCCTGCTTCGCTGTCTATCTTCAGCCAGTTGAGTCCAGAACACAAGTCACAGCCTCTGAGTTATGAATCGTTGTATTTCAGACATACTCTATTTATATACTAACCAAACAAACCACATCGCACCATAAAGTAGAAAACAACATTTACATAATATGTAACGAATGAATTAAATAATAGCCAATAGGGGATGTATATTTAAAGTCCAAGGCCACCATAGACTTAACATGACAATGATTGGCACATTATTCTGCATCCATAACAGGCTCTCCAAGAAACCAGCGCACATATAAATAGGATGTGTGAAGCATATTATTTTAAATGCTCAGTTACACTAGAGATATAAAAAACTGATAATGTATCAGAAAAGCTTACTTATGTACTAGTGCCCATATCAAATAGATATGGGATGAAACCTTCATTCTTTAATTAGCCGAAAAAAACCCTATATTGTTTAAATAATCTGATAATACAGTTTGTGACTAGAATGATCTTTATGTAAATTAGTAAGTAATGTAGGTATCCACCATGGGGATATCAGTGCATTGAAGATCGCATGTATACCTTGCTGACGAGTGTCAAATAACATAAAAGCTAGGTTCAGGGTTTCTTGTCAACTATCTCCGATCGCTACTTTACATCTCAACACAGTGCACTTGATGTTGATTCATTCGAACTAGCAGTCATATTGCAATTTCATCCATATATTTCGATCAGCATCAAGAAGTACTAGACAAACATTGATATAAATCACTGCTCAGTGATTTATTTAATTAGTCTCCTGATGATTGACTGGATTATGAAGACGTCAACATCTGGGGGTAAGCATGGGATACAGTGGACAGATAGGATACAGCTGGACGATCTAGACTTTGCAGATGATCTGGCCCTTCTATCCCAAACGCCTATGCTCTATTGGGAGCAACAGACGTAAGTAAGTAAGTAAATAAGTCATTGAAGAATGACATTATTTAAAGAATCAGTGAAAAGCAGATGAGGTACTGGGAATACATGTTTCATCTTCACTTAAAAACTTGTCTCATTATTCAATAAACACATGATTTCACAGAGAATTGAACGAAAAACTGCGTTTTTTTTTCTTTCAGATTCATCATTATTGCCACTTCCCAGTTTCAATTGTTGACAGATTTATTTTCTTTTTTCAACAAAAAGAAAAGAGAAAAAAAGAAACACTTACTGCAGCTGACATGACAAAATCAACATGTGCCAAATTATCGTCATCTTTCTCAAACGTTACTGATTGACATGAAGAAATCACTGTGAAAGATAAAATACGCATAGACAGATATAGTCAGTTACAATTACAATAAGATAAATATAAGTAGTAGTAGTATTGAGGATATTAAATTAGTGTGAAAATCAGTAACAGAGTGCAATGCAGTTGTATTTCACTGTTTGTCTTCTTCTTCTCCTTCTTATGTCTTCTTTTTTTAATCATTCGATTCTATTCTTGTAAAGTGTATTTCTCATTTTAAAGTTTTCATTACATTACTATTACTATACAGATTAGAATTTTGACTGAATATAACTAGTAACTTGACATGATAGTCGAGATGATTCAGCTGAGTTCTAAATGGCTTGTTCATCATTTACGTCTTCTATAATAAGAAAGTTTAATTGAAGAAGAGCCGTAAAACTAAAAAAAGAGCAAATGTGCGGTTTAAGGGTGCAATTGTAATGCGGAATATGTCGGATTGTGATAGTAGTAAACTGTTCTTTTCAGACAACCAGTAACTCCAAGGTCGATGCCTTTCCATAGTTGAAAGAGGTATCAAAAAAGATCAACCTGAAAAATAATACACATTACACCTTGTCCAACGGATCTTTGGTCCCGGTTGTAATAATCGAAAAGTATAGTGCAAGTATATCAAAAGTAATTAACAAAAAGGCCTATTTTCAACTTCGCTTAGTTTTTAAGCTACACAGTGTTCTATTAGAACTTTAAAACATTCAATAAAAATTAAATTGATCAATGAACAGAACACGTTTAGACATGGTTGCTATTTGGAAACAATCATCGTCTATGTCTACATAAACACCAACTAGCTACTAAATTCCAAAATATGGTATTACTTCTATTAATTTATGCGAACAACAATGGACATGAGTTCAAGTAGAAAAGGTCAAAATATTGAACAGAGCGTTGATTGTTGGACTAAACCATGTTGGTGAGTGCAGACTACCTAGTTGGGATCCACACTGGAGATGTTAGATGATATGTAGGTGTCATTACCAAGGTTTGATTTAATAATTTCGAATAAATTGAGCATTGGGTTGATTGTTATAAATAAAAATAATATATTTGTAATATCCCAATGAGTAGAAAATTGGATTTTCTGACGTTTCGTGGCTTAGTGTAAGTCACTTCTTCAGAGAATAAATAACCAAATTAAAATTGATCCAAGTTTAAATAGTACAACGGAACAATGCAAGAGTAATATTTGATCAATCAAAAATAGGTCTGAACAAGCTGGTGTCATGTCATTAATAACCGGATCAAATTATCCAAGTGTAAATGCAATTGGTACAATCACAGAATATTTAATAAACGATGTTTACAAGACAACATTATCCCTAAATCTCTTGTTATAAAACCTCCAGAACGGTCCTGGAGATCTATCCAGACTTCGCAACACGCGTCTCAAATATTCTTACGAGAACGCATTCACAAATGCACACATTTACTAGAAAAATATTGTGAACGAATCAAAAACTTTGATGATTTACTAAAGCTTTTAATCCCGACCGAATTACAAACCACGATATCCAACCTGTTTATAGAAAGAGAACGTCACTATTTAAATTCATCGAAACACCGACAAATTGAAAAATTCGAAAACATCAAAGAAAAGAAGAAAGATAAGAAAACATCAATAATAAAATACAATTCGAATGATCTAAGAAGAACTGTTCATAATCTCTCTAACAGAAACTTAACCAGTCATGAAATCACTCTACTAGAGAAGGGATTAAATTTCAATTTACACAGAAAATTATTTAGCACTGTTGAAATTGCTCCAATTATAGAACCAATGATCGCACAACTACCGGAAAAAGAGTCGCATTTACTACGTCAAAAGACATCCCATATTCTGACTAAACAAAAACACATTACACCAAACATTTCAAAAGAAGAATTGAAGGCTCTGCATTCACTTAAAAAAGACAAAACGATTATTATCACAAAAGCCGACAAAGGCAACACAACAGTAATCATGAATAAAACAGATTATATTAATAAAGCTCTTGAACATCTCCCAACAGGACCTTATGAAAAGATCAATCTAAAAACTTCTCTAACGATTAAGAATAAAGTCAAATTAGAAACAAATCAACTTCTGAACGAGCTAAAACCAATCATTGGGGTTCCGCTTTGGTTTGCTTTGCATCCCAAATCATGTAATGTCTCACGGTTTTATGGCTTACCAAAAATTCATAAACCAGATATTCCTTTAAGACCAATAGTAGACTTCACAAACACCCCAACATATGCATTATCAAAATATTTAAGCAATGTATTAAAACCACTACAACTCAACTTACATAATATAATTAAAGACACATATGACTTTAAATCCAAATTATCCGGATTAATCATCGAGAAGAATGAAATCATGGTAAGCTTTGATGTCGTTTCTTTATACACAAGTGTTCCCATTGATAAATGTTTAGAATTCATTAGTGGTTTACTTGAGAACGACAATACTCTTCCTGACAGATGTCCGTTGAGCATCAGTCTAATCATGAAATCCTTAAAACTTTGCTTAAATTCAACGCTATTTACTTTTAACGGTATGTTATTCAAACAAACTAACGGTGTAGCGATGGGATCCCCCGTGTCCCCGATTGTAGCCAACCTTTTTATGGCACACATAGAATCAAATATCTTCGCCCAAAACATTATACCACGAATTTGGCTTAGGTATGTAGATGATACATTTGTTGTGATAAAAAAGACTCATCTAAGATCTTTTTCAAAACGGATAAATACACTTTCACCTTACATCAAATTCACGAATAAAAATGAACATGGTGAGCTACCATTCTTAGATTGTTTAATGAAAAGAAATCTAAATGGAATTCTAAATCTATCCATCTACCGAAAACCTACACACTAATCGTTATATTGACTTCCATTCAGCACATCCTTTCAGTGCAAAGATCTCGCTAGCCTTAAATCTTTTTAGAAGAGCTAAAAAGATCATCACATCAGAGGAAGACAAACAAAAAGAACAAATGAATATAATTAGCATCTTACAATTTAATAATTTTCCTATGAAGATTACTAGAAGCATATTAAAACAATACAGTTTATTACATTATAATAATGATTCGAATGAAATGCCATGGATTGGTACTGTAGTTCTACCATACCGTCATGGTACAACAGAAGAAATCCAAAGAATCTTAAAACGTCACAGAATCAAAGTGTATTACAAAACAACGGACAAACTACGTAATACTTTAGTTCGCCTGAAAGAAAAAATCCCTTTCATGTCCACACAGAACTGCGTCTACAAATTAGGTTGTATCGATTGTGATGCCTTCTATATTGGAGAGTCATCCCGTGAAATCGTGACTAGAGCCAAAGAACATATTAGGTACACAAAGAAACCTGCTAACAATCCTGTAGAATTGAACCAACTTCAAATTAAATCGGCAATAGCAGTTCATGCCATTTTCAACAACCACCAAATCGATTTTAAAAATATCAAAATATTGCAAAAAGGCTTTTCCAACTAGAAAGAAAGGAGGGTAGCTGAGGCGTTCCATATAATGCTTAATCCTACTTCTCTCAATAGAAAAGAAGACCTTACCATACATCCTACTTGGACCATCTATCCTAACCATTCAGTCTGATCGTATTTACAATTTCACACTATCATATTACAAATTTAAACTCTATCCTTTCTTACCATAAAGGTCACACAAGTTTTCATTCTTAAACAATGCACATATACATACACACACAAATTTACATACATATCACTTATGAATCACCTTGACAGAAATGACATGACATCAACTTGTTCAGACCTGTTTTTTGATTGATCAAATATTATTCTTGCATTGTTCCGTTGTACTATTTAAACTTGGATCAATTTTAATTTGGTTATTTATTCTCTGAAGAAGTGACTTACACTAAGTTACGAAACGTCAGAAAATCTAATTTTCTACTCATTGGGATATTACAAATATATTATTGTCACAATGACTCAGATCTTTTAACTTTCTATTCTTCCCTGAATCTTGAGTTTCAAAATAATCTTATTCTTTTCATTTCACGGACTCATTAATTTTTTCTGAAATCATATTGCCTATACTCATTAATGACATTGTAACACCGGATAATACAGTAGACATCTAGCAACGTATAGTAGACTGTATACGAGTAGAAAAAATACAGATGTTACTATAAAATATAAAATATCTTTATAGTATATTTGGGTCGCGGCAGGTTAGTTCAACCTATGTAAGACTTGTTAGTTGGATGTACCTGCACATTCGAAGTCTTGATTCTCTAACTCAGTACCTTACGGTAACGTGTTATCCACTGAAATACTGAGTGCAGGTATGCCAATAAAGGTTGATCAAAAACCCAGTCCTGAATATCAACAACAGGATGATTCAGACCTTTATAATAATAATAATTATTATTATTCATATTTTTGATTTCATTATCAGTTAATTAAACATGAAATAGTCAGAATTTTGTGCAATGCTAATACTATTACTAGTATTATTATGATTATTCCAAGTGCTAGTGGGCGGCCTATGCTCCTCAACGAGGAGTAACAGGCGTAGGTAAACTCCTTAGTAAGTAAAGTAAATTTCTGATAACAAGATGTTCAATAAAACAAGCAAAAGATAGTCAATACTTGCTACATGTCACATACTCAGCTATGTATACCAATATCACAATAAAAAAATCAGATTAAAAAGATGGAAAACTTAGGATTTACACAACTTCCAACAGACTGCCTTGTTTCTGATCTTTCTCTTATCTACTACTAGTTCCTGAGATGGCTATGAAAACAACCATGAATATCCCTAGACTACTCCCCCCACAGCAGACCACACATTCAAGTAAGTCTATAGAATTTGACCAACAATAAGAACTGGACAAATACGAAACTGGTTGCTATTTATCGGTTTGTCAACGTAAACACCTAAATACAATGAGAGATCAGGTCAGTATTAACGTCTCAGACAGTAACGTTGTATGATGCGGGTTCGAGAGCTACAGTGAACATTAG